TACTTCTTATGAAAGGCTAATCAATGCACAGCACTGCAAAGCATTGCGCCGCAAGGCACAGCAATGCAAAGCAATGCAAAGCAAAGCAATGCAAAGCACTGTCTTGCACTGCGAAGCAATGAGAAATGCGCTGCGACGCAGCGCAATACACACTAATGCAATACAATGCTAATCAATGCAACGTAATGCGCAGCAATGAAAATCAATGCAACACAATGCAGTGCGTCGCAATGCAAAGCAATGCGACGCAATACAAAACAAGGCGACTCAATGCAACACAGCGCAACACAATGCAATGCAACGCAATGCAACCCATATCGAAACAATGCAAGGCAATGCGATGCACTGCAAAGCAATGCGAAGCAGTACACATCAATGCACATCAATGCAACGTAATCCAAAGCACAGCAAAACACTGCAAACCAATCCAACACAGTGCAAAGCAATGCAAAGCAAGAGGAAGGGATGGAGGACATGGATTGAAGGAGTGAGGAGGGATGGGTAGGTCATTGATCATGAGGGTTGCAATGGGGGGAGTGGGGAGAGGTGGGGCTGAAGAGAGTTGAGGAGGGATGGCGAGATGCGGGGGGGGAGACTGGAGAGAGGACGAGAGGTAAAGCAGGAGGATGGAGGGATGCAGGTGTTGAGGAATGGAGGCATGGAAGGATGGATGGAGGATAAGGGAGGCATGGGTGGAGGGATGGTGGCGGAAGGATGACGAGAAGAGGGAGCATAGAGCCAAAGGGGTAGATGGATGGATGTAGTGTTTGTTGCAAGGACGGAGGGAGGAGCTGAGGAGCTGGGGCTAAGAATGACGAGGAGGAGGAGGAGGAATAGGAGCAGGAGGAGGAGAAGGAGAAGGAGAAGGAGAAGGAGAAGGAGAAGGAGAAGGAGAAGGAGAAGGAGAAGGAGAAGGAGATGAGGACGCCAGTCGCGGGCGTCCTCTCTGGGCGTCTTCCAGGCCCCTCGGGCTGTCCTGGGGCCCCTTTAGATGTTCTGGAGGACTTTCCAGCTGTGGGGGCCCTTCTGGAGCCATCTTGGAGGGCATCTTGGGCATCTTTGGAGGCCACGAAGGGTGGATTTGGAGGCTTCGAAGGCCCAGGAGGTGCGCCGGCGAGCTCGCCCCCCCCGCCCCCCCCCTGCCTATGGGGTTTTGGACCCCAGGGGAGGGGCACCGGTATTCGGCGGATTTGTCAAGATGGGTGTGCGAGGCGCAAAGGCGAGAGCCCAATTGGGAAATCGACCCGTCCTCTATCCATTGAGCTCGTGTTTTTTAAGACGAGTGTGCGCGTCGCCAAGGTGAAAGTGCCATTTCGAAAATGACCCGCCCTCTATTCGTTTATTTCATCGCTTCGCTCATTCCGCCTGCCCTGGAGCCCTCTTGAGGGCCTCTTGGGGGCCTCTAGGGGACCTGTTGGGAGTCTCTTGGGGCTCCTTGGCGGCGTCTTGGGGGCCCCCAGGGCCTCTTGGGGGGCTTTTGGGGGCCTCTTGGGGCGGGAGGGGGGTAGTCGATTGCGGCTTCCCCCTCGGAGGCCACGATCCTCGTGAGGGGTGTCGAAAAATGGCCCTCCCCTGGAGTGCTCTGGTGGCTTCTCCCAGGACCTTGCCGGGGTACTTTTCGTCTGGGGGCCCCCAGGGGCCGCTCCGCGCGCTCGAACTAGAAATATTGTTGACCAGTTACCGGAGATCTTAGCACGCCTCTGGCCGGTTGAGCCAGTGAATTTATCGGAAATGCGACGTTTCAATTTCGTAAGCGATGAGAAAGCCTCATGCGGATCGCCTGATCTGCCCTACCCAATCGACGCGCTTATTGGTGCGGTAGGGTGGGAATTATTACAAAGAAGAGGGCCGGAAGATGAGGAGGAGGAGGAGGGATGATCGAGGAGGGAGAATGGGGATGATGATGAGGGGGACAGAAGCCACACAACGGGAAAATGGAAACGGGAAACGAGAGGTTTGGAGCCCCAACGGAAGATAATGACGATTTTACCTAACAGCGAAGACTGATAGGTTTCTAGTAGGGTCAAAAGAGAGCATCTGATGACTCCTCAGGGGGGTCTGGGCGGAACCCGGACAGAATCCGGCGGCTGCCGTCGGAGCCCAAATCGCCTGGGACATCCTCGCAATATCGCTCTTGGCGCTCCCAGAACGCCATTCCCGGGCTACATTTTGGATGCCCGGAGCCAACTGTAGGCCACTTCGTGCTCTTCGACTTCCCAGAACTCCATTCCCGGGCCACATTTTGGATGCCCGGAGCCAACTGTAGGCCACTTCGTGCTCTTCGACTTCCCAGAACTCCATTCCCGGGCCACATTTTGAATGCCCGGAGCCAACTGTAGGCCACTTCGTGCTCTTCGAGTTCCCAGAACTCCATTCCCGGGCCACATTTTGAATGCCCGGAGCCAACTGTAGGCCACTTCGTGCTCTTCGAGTTCCCAGAACTCCATTCCCGGGCCACATTTTGAATGCCCGGAGCCAACTGTAGGCCACTCGTGGTCTTCGAGTTCCCAGAACTCTATTCCTGGGCATGATTTTGAATGCCCGGAGCCAACTGTAGGCCACTTCGTGTTCTTCGAGTTCCCAGAATTCATTCCCGGGCCACATTTTGAATGTTGAGGCAGGCTGAGGCTGAGGCTGAGGCAGGCTGACCTGAGGCAGGCTGAGGCTGAGGCCTGAGGCTGAGGCTGAGGCTGAGGCTGAGGCTGAAGGGCAGGCTGAGGCTGAGGCAGGCTGATGCTGAGGCTGAGGCTGAGGCTGAGGCTGATGCAGGCTGAGGCTGAGGCTGAGGCAGGCTGAGGCAGACTGAGGCTGAGGCTGAGCAGCTGAGGCTGAGGCTGAGGCAGGCTGAGGCTGAGGCTGAGGGCTGATGGAGGCAGGCTGAGGCTGAGGCTGAGGCTGATGCAGGCTGAGGCTGAGGCAGGCTGAGGCTGAGGCCGAGGCTGAAGGCAGACTGAGGCTGAGGCTGAAGCAGGCTGAGGCTGAGGCTGAGGCAGGCTGAGGCTGAGGCTGAGGCAGGCTGATGCTGAGGCAGGCTGAGGCTGAGGCTGAGGCTGATGCAGGCTGAGGCTGAGGCAGGCTGAGGCTGAGGCCGAGGCTGAAGGCAGACTGAGGCTGAGGCTGAAGCAGGCTGAGGCTGAGGCTGAGGCAGGCTGAGGCTGAGGCTGAGGCAGGCTGATGCTGAGGCAGGCTGAGGCTGAGGCTGAGGCTGAGGCTGCAGGCTGAGGCTGAGGCAGGCTGAGGCTGAGGCCGAGGCTGAAGGCAGACTGAGGCTGAGGCTGAAGCAGGCTGAGGCTGAGGCTGAGGCTGAGGCTGAGGCAGGCTGAGGCTGATGCTGAGGCAAGGCTGAGGCTGAGGCAGGCGAGGCTGAAGGCAGACTGAGGCTGAGGCTGAAGCAGGCTGAGGCTGAGGCTGAGGCAGGCTGAGGCTGAGGCTGAGGCAGGCTGATGCTGAGGCAGGCTGAGGCTGAGGCTGAGGCTGATGCAGGCTGAGGCTGAGGCAGGCTGAGGCTGAGGCCGAGGCTGAAGGCAGACTGAGGCTGAGGCTGAGGCTGAAGCAGGCTGAGGCTGAGGCTGAGGCTGAGGCTGAGGCAGGCTGAGGCTGAGGCAGAGGCAGGCTGAGGCTGAGGCTGTGACTGCGACTGCCGTTGCCACTGCGACTGTCATCGCGAATGCGATTACGACTGTGAGAACAGCAGAATTCTACAACTGGATTCTCATCTGAATCTTAAGGGGAATGCTTCCAGATAAGCTCCTACACATCGCTGTTAGGTTGCTTTGCCGGGATACTTGAGTATGGTGGTGATGATGGTGATGATGATAATGATGGTGGTGGTGGTGATGATGCTGATGATCGGAATGATGCTGTTGCTGCTGCTGATGATGATGATGATGCCGATGATGATCATGATGCTGCTGCTGATGATGATGGATGTTTATGCTGCTGATGATGCTGATGCTGATGATGATGCTGATGCTGATGCTGATGGTGGTGGTGGTGAAGATGGCGATGCTGCTGATGACGATGATGCTGCTGCTGATGATGGTGATGATGATGATGCTGATGATGATGGTGATGATGATGCAGATGGTGGTGATGTTGATGGTGCTGATGGTCATACTGACGATGAATTGTTGCTGTTGATGGTGATGATGCTGATGCTGATGCTGATGCTGGTGATGATGATTATGCTGCTGCTGATGATGATAATGCCGATGCTGATGCATGATGATAATGATGATGACGATGATGCTGATGATGATGATGACTATGATGATTATGATGATGATGACGATGATGATGATGATGATGATGATGATGATGATGATGATGATGATGATGATGATGCTGATGATGCTGACGATAACGATTATGCTGCTGATGTTGATGCTGTCTATGTTGATGGTGCTGATGGTGATGATGCTGATGACGATGACGTCTATGATGATGATGATGATGATGATGATGATGATGATGATGCTGATGATGATGATGCTGCTGCTGCTGCTGCTGATGATGATGATGATGATGATGATGATGATGGTGGTGGTGGTGGTGGTGATGATGATGCTGCTGCTGCTGATGATGATGATGATGATGATGATGATGATGCTGATGATGCTGCTGCTGATGATGATGATGATGATGATGATGCTGCTGATGATGATGATGATCTGCTGCTGCTGCTGCTGCTGCTGCTGCTGCTGATGATGATGATGATGATGATGATGATGATGAATGATCATGATGATGATTTTTGGGCACGAGGAGGAGGAGGAGGAGAGAGGAGGAGGAGGAGGAGGAGGAGGAGGAGGGACATCAGGAGGAGGAGGGAGAGGAGTAGGAGGCGGAGAGGAGGAGGAGGAGGGGAGGAGAGGAGGAGGAGGAGGAGGAGGAGGCGGAGGAGGCGGAGGAGGCGGAGGAGGAGGAGGAGGAGGAGGAGGAGGAGGAGGAGGAGGAGGAGGAGGAGGAGGGAGGTGGGCGGCAGGCGGCCGTCCCCGCAGGAGCTGTACGACCACATGTGCCCGCACTGCTGGTATGCGGTGCGGCCGCCTCGCCCGGGCCGCGGCCTCCTTCCGCGCCCTCTCCCCTCGGGGGCCCCGCCCGGGGCGCCCTCTAGTACGGTCGGCCCAGATTTGTAGGTCGACCCTGCCAACTCAAGGGTACCCTTGTGTCCTGTGTCTCGCGACCCATGCTTCCTACATTCCTGTGGCAGTGCGGCCCTCGGAAGGGTCTCGTGTCCTTTCGCGTGTCCTGTCCAATCGGGTCCGACTGTACGGCCCCATCCCGCTCCCGTGTCTTCGCTCGGGGCAGCTGGCGCAGAAGTGCAGCAGGCGCCGGCGCGGCCGTGGCTGAGCGCGCTGGCCCGCAGGTGCCAATCGTGAACGACGTCGCGAGCGCATTCCAGGACCCTCCCCGGGTGGAGAAGGGGGCGCCCTGAGGGGAGAGGCGCTCCGAGAGGCGGAGGAGCCGGAGGACGGCGACGGCGCTGAGGACAAGGAGCCTTCTCGTCCTCGTCCTGTCCGCGTCGTCGTCGTCCTCCCCCTTGTGCCCTTGCACCCCGTGCGCCCGCGCGTGCGTTCCAACTGCGCTCGCACCGCGCTTCCGCCGCGCTCGCACTCCTCGTGTTTCTCGTCCTTCTCGTCCTGGCCCTGCTGGGATGAGGAGTTGGACAACCACGGGGAACAGCTGGGGGAGGAGCAGGAGGAGGAGGAGGAGGAGGAGGAGGAGGAAGAGGAAGAGGATGATTGTGCTGATCCTGATGATGATGATGATAATGATGATGATGATGAGGAGGATGAGGTTGAGGATGAGGATGAGGATGAGGATGAGGATGAGGATGAGGATGATGATGATGATGATGATGATGATGATGATGATGATGATGATGATGATGATGATGATGATGATGATGATGATGATGATGATGATGATGATGATGATGATGATGATGATGATGATGATGATGATGATGAATGATGATGATGATGATGATGATGATGATGATGATGATGATGATGATGATGATGATGATGATGATGATGATGATGATGATGATGATGATGATGATGATGATGATGATGATGATGATGATGATGATGATGATGATGATGATGATGATGATGATGATGATGATGATGATGATGATGATGAGGAGGAGGAGGAGGAGGAGGAGGAGGAGGAGGAGGAGGAGGAGTAAGATGAGGATAAGGAAGACAACTATGAAACATAATAATCTGATGAACACGAATGACATTAGTAACAAGAAAATAGAAACAGAGCGGCCTCGGGGGGCGACGTCAGTCAGTGCGATTCGGATAGGCCCCCGCCGTCGCCCGATCGGGCGGCATTTCCACTAGGACGCGCGGCCCCCGCGGGCCCGTCCTCACTGGCCATTCGAGGCATAGTCGAGAGACCTTCTCGTCCTAAACTTGCCAGCCAAGTCGCCAGCTCATCCTCCATGACTCCAGCTGGAGCCTTCCACTCCTTCACGATTGCCCCGACCTGCTGCAGCACGCGGTGGATGGTGTCCATGATGCCCGCCTGCTGCAGGTTCTCTGCCATTGGTTCCTCCGTCTCCGTGTCCGTCCAGGAGCCTGGCTCGATGTAGATGGTATCGTTTTCTTTTTGTCGTTGCATTTGTTGACTGTGATGTGCTCGACCTGTGCCAGCACTTGATGTGCCGATACCTTGTCGATGTACTTGCCGTGGTCGTTCATGACCTGCCTGGTCTTGCTGCCCTCGTCCTCTGAGGGGAGGGTCGAAATACGCGGCATGTAGAGGTGCCCCTCTGGTGGTCCGAACGTATGACCTGTGCTCGCCTCCTTGCACTTGTCGGCGTCGACCTTTCTGCAGGCTCTGAGCGCTTTGATCACCGTGCTCTCCACTGGGACGGGGCAGACGCTGGAGACTGCTGCTATGACCATGGCCAGCCTCCACCAGCTCCGGTCGGGCGTGTGCGCGACGCGCGGGCGATGCGTCCTCCTGGGGCGGATTGGGGGGGGAGGAGGAGGAGGAGGAGGAGGAGGAGGAGGAGGAGGAGGAGGAGGAGGAGGTGGAGGAGCTTCTTCAGTTTGACGTCGGTCTTTGTCTGGTGCTCGTCTGCTCCCCGCCTGCGTCTGGATGACGCTGCCGCTGCTTTGCCTGGCCCTGCCACGGCCTCTGCCCCTCCCTCGGCGGCCTCCGCCGCCTCGTCGACCTCCGTCGGTGGCCCGTCCGCCCCGGCGCCCTTGCCTTTGCCGCCCTTGCTGCCTTGCTGTCCGCTGGGACTTCTTGTTGCGCCCGCTGTCGGCAAGGCAACGCTGCCAGCCACGTCGCTGATCTGTTTCTCGTCTGGCACGAGCCACGTCGTCGTCGTGCTGCTTTGCGCGGGCTCTGTCCTCGACGCTGAAATCGATATCGAGGCTGATGGAGTGAGCTGCTCTGGATAGGTGCTCGAGACAACAATGGTCTTGCAGCACTGATCGATGCTGAACCAGCTGTAGGTTGGGGCATAGCTGGCATCTGAGTTTGTCAACTGGTAGTGGGGGGTAGTCTATCCGAGTATTGTCTGCGATGCAATGCTGGTGTTTTAGAGAACGTAGTAGGTGGTCTTCGGCCTGCGGTCGGTCCAAGATCTGGTACGGCAGAGGAGACATTGGAAAGAGCTCGCCCGTCGCACGCTCCTTACTAAAAGGGGGCCCCAGCTTCTAGCTACCCCCACCCCCCTCCCTTGGAAAGGGGGGGGGTCCGAAGCTACCTCCCGCCCCTCCCCGCTTTTGTGGGCATTTTTTTTAGCTGGGGGAGCTCCAGTTTAGGGGGGGCTTGGAAGCTACCCCCCCTTTTCGGGTCCCGGGGTCAGCCCAGGCTCCCCTATCAAAGGGGGGGGGGGCTTCCGAAGCTACCCCCCTCCTTTAGCTTGAATTTTATAGCTGGAGGATCCCTGGCTAGAGAGAGGGGGGGGGAGGTTGGAGGCTACCCCCCCTCCTCTGCCCGGGGCCCTGGGTGAGCCAGGGCTCCCCTTGTTAGTTTCTGTGACGATCGCAGGCCTCCCATCGCAATAGCAGGGATAGAAGTAGAGCAGGGACGGTTGCGGGTCCATTTGCATATGGGCTCAAGCGTGAAAAGTCGAGTTTTGGTAGCGGAGCCTGGTTCATTCCAGGCTCCATCTGTATCGTTTCCTCAGCAGGAGACAGCGCACGCTGATAGCGGCAGGACGCGACGGCAATGTCTGAATCAAGAACGAGCAGTGCATCCACAAGTGAAAGTGAAAGTACAGCACCGGTGACCCGCTCGCCGAATATGACGACATCCTCTACTGGCAGTCCGACTCCTGCGAGAGCATGACCGAGCACATCGGCCTCCCATAGATTTTCACACCAAGGGCACCCCACCCGGATGGAGGCTGGCGCTGATGCACTATCTCTTCAGACGATATTTGGGGAGATTGCGATTTTGGTTTCGTCTGACATATTTGGAAGCCACACAGGTCGGACCAGCCGTTGCAGGTCGCCTCCAAGGACGGCCTAAGGACGACCTTACAAATGGCGTTGGCACTGCAGCTCAACGCCCAGGCCGGTGCACAGCTCCAAGGAGACGCCGCACTTGCCTATCCCAGTGAGCCTCGAATTTTGAACGGTCAAGACAAGCTTCCTCTTCGCAGCCACCGAGAGCGGAATTCAGACCCTCATAAGGGCGTTATCAAGAAGGTATGGCGCAGACAACCAGCATAATCACGGGCGCCATCGATCTTTTTAACGACCTGAGGCGCGCAAGGCTTTCGTTGCTCGAGTACATCGCGGAGTTCGACCACACCTATGAGGAAGCTGGACGCCTCGGAGGTTTATATCTCAACAGCGATGCCCTGAGCCATCAGTTGCTTAAACACTCCGGCATTGAGAAGTCAAAGCTGGATCACATACTCTTTATTGGTGAATGGAGATCTCGTGCACGCAAAGCCAGCATCGTGCCGCTCCGTTTCCTGCCGTCTCCACCGCCGGTTTCCGGCGACGTCGTCGGCGACGCCGACGACGACGACGACGACGACGACGGCGGCGGCGGCGGCGGCGGCCAACCGCCGCCCCGGAAGGATGTCGACGGCTGGAAGATGACGTCCCTGAATTGCCACATGCGGCAGAACGGGGAGGCTTGGCTTGCGAGGGGGGGTGGAAAGGGTGCAGGGAAAAGGTGTGGCGGGAGGGGAGGGATCGGAGGGAGGAGGGAAATGGGTGGCGTGAGGGGAGGAATGTGGGGAAGGAGGAGGAGGAGGAGGAGGAGGAGGAGGAGGAGGAGGAGGAGGAGGAGGAGGAGGAGGAGGAGGAGGAGGAGGAGGAGGAGGGGAAGGGAGGGTGGGGAAAAAGGGGTGGGAAAGGAGGGCTGGTGGTAGTGGTGGTGGTGAATGGGGAGGGCGGGTAGGAGGAGGAGGAGGAGGAGGGGGAGGAGGAGGAGGAGGAGGAGGAGGAGGAGGAGGCTCCGACCGCTCGCGGGGCGCCCCGTCCAGGTCCAGGGGAGGGGGTAGGGGGAGGGGTAAACCCCCTCCCCGAAGGGGAAGAAAGGGGGTTGGAAGAGGAGCCGCCCTAAGCCACCTACGCCCAGAGGGCTGGTGGGATTCACAAGGATTCCAACCGGCGGAATCCGATAGGATTCCAATATGAAGGATGCAAGTGTATGCCCTCTGGAGTCCAAGCTGATATACAAGTGGATCCCTATTGGATTCCAATATGATCCCACTTGGATTCCAGTAGTCGTTTCCAATCCAATAGTAGGATGTCGTCGCTATTCCTTTAGACTGGATTTCAGTTTACTGTCACTTGGAAGGAAGTTCATTGAACTCGAAAAAGATCACCTCCATGAGGATAGCAGTATATAGAACTTAGTTCGTGCAAATTCCCGGCATTAATTGTTTTCGGATCTCATCTGATGACCGTAAGGACTCGCATGTGCATTCTGAGCTTAAGAGTTTTGTTTGCATTTGACATGTAATTCGGATGGATGCCGGGGATTTCGCCCTTGTGCCAGGAATTCA